TTGCTTCTGGTGCCCACACAGCTCACCTTCTCTGCTCTAGGAGCTTGGGATGGCAGCAGGGGAGCTTCCTTCCCGGTTCTGGGACTGGTTCAACTTCTCTGCCCTAGAAGCTTGCGATGGTGGTGGGGGAGCTTCCTTCTGGGTGCTGGGACCGGCTGAGCCTCTCTGCCCTAGGAGCCTGGGATGGAGGTGGGGAGCTTCCTTCCAGGTGCTGGGACTGGCTCACCTTCTCTGCCCTAGGAGCCTGGGATGGCAGCGGGGGAGCTTCCTTCTGGGTGCTGGGACTGGCTGAGCTTCTCTAGCTACTATTGTTTTTATAGGTCATTAAGTATTAATATGTTCTTTTGTCACTTTCGGCTGCTAATCAGATAGGCAGCCACACTTCATTGGGGGAAGGATCTTTGTCAGATGTGACTGAGGTTGTGGGTTCGAAGGGAAGTTGGAAATTGTTGAGTGAGAACTGTGTTCCTGCAGGAGATGGCACTTGCCACAGAGGGAAGTAACAGGTCCAAATGGGATTATTTTTGGTGGACTCTGTACTCAAATTCCCTGAGACGACTAAGGAAGTTTTACTATATGCAGGACTGTACAGAAAACTAAAAGAATCCTGCTCTGACCTTAGTTTTGTTTCATAGGCATGTAACACAACCAAGCCTGAAGCCAGGGAAAATTATGATTGGTAGTAGCATCTTAAAAAGCCCTCTTCTCCTACCTTCCCATCTTCTCCCAACTACCTGTTTTTCTCTTACCCTCTGTGAACACAATGGGATATTTCATTGTAAGAGTTGGATGTTGTTGAGATGGGATAAGGGTGTTTGGTAATTTTATCAAACTACACAACTGTAAAAAGTTGCTTTTCACCTCTGTGTTCCAGTGCCCTTGTGTTCCACCATTTCAGTCATTAGTATTGTTGCTCCCTCACTACTGCCAAGAAAGCCAAGATGAATTTGACATCACTTATTTCATATTTTAGAATGATTTTATTTTGCTGAATTTTGAGACACTTGGGAGTCAAATATTTTAGAGCCACGAAAATAATTGTGGCTAGGTGTGTGTGCTATTAATGCATTCTTTCTAAGGCCTCCGTTGGGCTGGGCTTCATGTCGGTGTACTCAGGGGGTCTAAAGTGGGGGACCTGAGGGCAAAAACATCAACATTCTTCTCTTGGAAATTCAAAAGGCAAGGCACAGGTGTGAGGCATTACAATTTGAGAGAAGATGCTATTGGACAGAGCTTTACTTTTTCTACTCCACCTGTCCAGAGTAGGAAAAAGACCACTTGAAAGCAAAAGTAGAATGAGTGGATTTGGGAGAAAAAGTAAAGTATAGGATGTAGTTGGCTCTGGGTTTATGTTCTTCCCTTGGCCAAACTGAGTTGGAGAATGGCAGGTGGGTATATGCTGAACCCTCTTTAAGCATGGGGAGCTCAGAGATAAGAGGACGTGTGCTTCCTTTTCCTAGTGTCACCAAGATGGCTGCAAGGCTTGTGAAGGGCCTTTCAGTGCTCTGGAGGGGAAGGTATGTTTTTCCATGTCTTGGCATGAGTGCTGGGCAAACTCAGCCCTTGGAGTTTCTCTCAGCCCAAAAGTGGGATGAGAGGACCTCTTAAAGTACTATTTTTGTTTCTGTCTTTGCTTCTTGCCTGTCTTCCTCTTCACATTCTTATCTAGATACTTTTCTAGTTTTATTTTTAAGAAGATTTAAGTTTCAGTATGTTGCCCCCTTCTCCCCCCCCCCCGAATATGGGCCCATTTTGGACTCTAAACCTCATCTTTCTTGTTATGTGGGTTACTCTCTTTGTTTATTTCTTGATTCCCAGAGCTGTTTCCAGAAACCAAACCATTCCCTGAACCAGAATAACCTCTTCAAATTACTCTGAAATTCCTTTATCTTCTTCCTTAGGTTATTTCACCCTATGCCAATGTGATTTCCCAAGAGTAAACTTTTTGTTCGTTTTGAGACAGCATCTCAATATGTAGCCCAGGCTGGCCTTGAACTCACAGTGATCCTTCTGCCTCTGCCTCCCAAGTTTTTGAGTCACGATGCCTGGCTCAAGATTGAATATTTTATGGATTGTTTGGCCTTTGGTTTTGTGCTAATCTCCTTCAGCATTCTCTCCTCTTTGGTGCAGTTGGAAGTTTTATTTCCAGTATAAGAGGGCCTTGCTTATTCTTTTCCCTCCTCTTCCCTCCTCCTTCTCCCCCCCTGCCACTTCCTCCTCCTTCCATCCTCTACTCCTTCTCCTTCTTCCTCCTGTGTGTGTGCGCGTGTGTGTGCACATATTGGTAAAAATCTTCTGTTCCCTTCTGATTGCACACATAATTTTAGGTCAGTGAATGACAAAGTTAAGAGTTTCTATAGGATTTTTGTTTTGTTTTGTTTTTTTGGTACCGAGGATCGAACTTGGGTCCTTGTGCTTGCGCAGCAGGCGGTGAAACCTCCGAGCTAAATCCCTGGCCCTTCTATAGGATTTTTAATGTAACTAATTCCTCACCTTAACTGAAACCAGACTTTCCCAGAATCATGTTACTTTTCTGCAGTGCCAAGCGCAGGGCACTCTTTCTCCCTGCACCGTGTTGGAGCATGGAGATGGGCAGGGCATGCCTTCTACTCATCACTGTGGCTTCTTTCAGCAACCAGTCCTCCACTGACACACATATACTCCACCCTCTTCCCATCCTCATTTTTTCCTCCCCTGATCTCTTTACCCTGCAATCATATTCAGTGAGGATTTTGGCAACTATCTCTTTCCACCCTGGCTCTTGTCATCATTCTGGAGAGGCTCCACCTCCATGTTAGTGACACATCTGCATCCTTTACTTCTTACACACTGTGGATTTCCACTTCCACCTCCGGAGCAGCCCATTCAAATGGCCACACCCTATACCTTGGCATCGTCCATGACTTCTCCACCTCTGACACTGTGAACCCTGAAATTTCACACATTAATCACACAGCATAGTCTTGTTACTGTCCTACTCTTAAGTTCCCTCTAAGTCTTTCTTAAGAAATCATCTCTATTTTCATGTCAAATAATTCCATAAATACTATCTAGAATTGATGGAGGTAAACATTTTTACCTATATTTGCTTTGTTTTATTAAAATAATAATGAATAAAACATTATAGGTACATTTAAGACCTCTGTGTTCTTAGCCCTAAATGGTCATCTTTTCTTCTGAGAAGCAAGTACCCACCATGAATTTTGAATATGTATATGATATGTACCCGTGTTTCCCTGAAAATAAGACTTACCTAGAACATAATCAGCCTTGAAAGCTGGGACTCGAAAGCCAGCCCCAGTCGGCTGATCTTGGCTTACCTGCCATCACTGTTCTCTTGCTCAGTGGCTCTTCTGCGAGGCAGGTAGAGCAAGGAGAGGCTGATAGGGTCTGGTATTTTTGATCTCTAGTTTTCAAGGCTGATTATTTTCTGGTTAGGTCTTGTTTTTGAGAAAACAGCATATACATACACATATATATATCTAAAATGCGTATTTTTTATTTTAAAATTTACAACATGTACTATATATAATTTGTAACTTGACTTTTCACTCTATTATATTTTGAAAATTTATGTATACGTAATAGTTAATTCTTTCAGAGTGCTTCATAGCAGTCTAACATGAATATAATATATTCTATTAATTTTTGATATTCATTATTATAAAGAATGGTATATTAAACATCGTTGTAAATGTCTTCCCACACAGAATAGGTCAGTGTAGTTCCATGGCTAAAGTAGGAGCATAGCTAGGCTATATCATCTTTTTGTGAATTAAAAAGACCTCCTTATTGCATGGAGCTTGTCCTCTGAGTACACAGGCTGACAAGTGGAAGCTGCTTGGGGCAAAGATAAAAGCACAGATGGCCTGTGTATCTGTGGTTTCCACACCTATGGATTCAACCAACTGCCGATTTATCCAACCTCAGATCAAAAATAATTGGGAAAATATGTGTCTGTACTGAACATACACAGATTTTTTGTTGTTCTCTAATATTGTATAACAATGATTTATGTAGCATCTACATTGTATTAGGTATTATAAGTAATCTAGAGATGACTTAAGGTATATAGGAGGATATGCACAGATTATATACAATGTCTACACCATTTTACATAAAAGACTGGAGGATCTGCAGATTTTGATAACCCATGGAGAGTCCTGGAACCAATCCCTCCAAGGATACTGAGGGTGTGAGTGTATTCAGGTGGTTTTAGATTTCAACTAGGGATGTTGAACTAGGATTGTCAAGTTGGTTGAGTTCATGTGCCAGCTGGCTCCTTTTGAGCACCTCTGGACAATGGAAACATTGCATAGCTTTGTGTGATACTCTGGAGTCACACTGCTTGGTTTCAAATTCTAGCTGTATAACTAAGCAAATTACTTAGCCTCTGTGTCTCATTCTCCTCATCAGTAAAATGGGGATATGGAATGATCTATCTCCTAGGTTAAATGAAAGAGATTTTATATATACTGTTGTAGTACATATAGTAAATTCTATATAAATATTGGGTGTTACCATAAATATTATCATGTACAAATTCGAGAACTGCTGGTAGGTAGGATATGCACTTTTTAAATAGACTCATGACCTTTTCTCTGTTTGTTTCAGTCTGTCAGCCCAACCCCCCCAACCTCATGTCTGCGCAGGATTTCATCAACACACTGGAAACTGGGCTTCAGTCATGTAGTGATTGTTATCAGCAGTGGATTAAGCATGACAAGGGAAAGCAAACCAAGTCACCCAGATCATTCCCCAAAGTGGGCAGAAGAAAATAATTAGAGTAAGAATGCAATGAGAATGGCCTCCTGCCAGGCATGATGACTGTTGAGACAGGCCAGCTTTAATCTCCTTTTGCTTCCCACTCTACCTCCTTTGATAATGTCATGGATAATGTTTCCCTCACTTCCTCTCCACCCAGCACATCCTTCCTCCCCACCACCCCCATGCACACCTGCAAACTCTGTCTGTCTCTCTCTCTGTTTTCCCAGAAATCTATCTTTCCCTTGATGAGCCCAGCTGTTCCTGGGGGAGCCTAGTTGTTACTGGTGAAGTAAGTGTGGGCTGGTGAATCTGACGGAGAATGAATTTTGTAGTCCATTACATTTGAGTTCAAATCTGAACTGCATCATAAGTGAGCTATGATAACTTTCAAAAACTTCAGTTTGTGCTCTGAGAAGTTTGAGGATCACTGTCTCACAGATTTATTGTGAAAGGAAGAAAGGACTAAGTAACTAGATGTTGATATATAGCTACTAGTATATTTCATATTATTTTCTTTTACCTGAAAAGTTGCAGCTACTTTTTCCTCTTTTCTACAATAATGTAGTGGACTGTAAAGTTTTTTTTTTTTGTATTAAATTCTTTTATTGGTACATTGTAGGTATACAACACAATTACATTTCTCACTGGGAATTGTACCTTTATATAATGCATCTTGGTTCTTATTTTTTCCCCATTCCTAGCCCTCCCTTCACGCCCCCCACCCTTCCCTATTTACAAAGACTTTATTTCCATTTTTTCCATTTCTCATCATTTTTCCTTTCTCTTCTTTCCTTTCCCCTGCCCCTCCCACTACCCCTACCCCTTTGGACCTTTTCTTCCTATTTTACATTATCGATTATTCATTCTAATAATTGGTACATTTTAGGTATACAATATAATGACATTCATCATTGGAAATTTGCACCTTTACATAGTCTCTCTTGGTTCTTATTTTTCACCCTTGCCCAGCCCTCCCTTCAACCCCTTCAGTCCTCCCTATTTACAAAGATTTTGTTCCTATTTTTCCATTTTCTCATATTAATCCCATTCCCTTCTATCCTTTCCCTTAGCCCTCCCACTTCCTTCCCCTTTGCCCCTTTTCTTCCTATTTCACATTACCTATTATACCTTTAGTCCTTATTTACACTTTCAGTTTCTCACACCAGAGAAACTATTCGGTATTTACACATGTGTTGGACTGTAAAGTTTTGCCTAACAGAAATTTGATTTTAAAATTATCCTTTCCACAGACATATAGTTTGGGATAGGAGAGTTTTTGTAAGAGTTTTTCTGTGTTCCTCCTGTACATGTTTCTCTGTAGCAATGATGGCGAATCTTTTAGAGCGTTCGGTGATAACAAATACCTTCTATGCCACACGTGCCATAGGTTCCCACTACTGCACTGTAGGAACTGTTGAGTGTCCCTAGATCCTTTTATCCTTGCATCTGTCCTGCCATCCCAAACCTATGATTAACCTAATTCCATTTTTTTGCTGCTTTTTCTAGCCTATGGGGTTCTGGCCAGTTGGATTTATGAGATTCACCCTTACCAAACCTCTGAATACTGCCTGGAAAATCTCTTTTCTCATTCTTTCCTAAGACACCCTCAGCAGGGTTCTCCAAAAATTTCACAAGCCTCTGACCTCATTCCTTCCCCATTTTTTTAGTGGATCTCTTTATCTCCTTTGTAAAGATAGAGTGAGTGTTAAAGCATTAGAAGTCCAATCTTGGGAAGAATGTATGGCAGGGGGGAAAAGCCCTACTACATAGGTTATCAAGGTGACAATCTGTCCTTTTGTGGCTAGAACAACAACTTCCTCAGATAATTATTTTACTTGTGGGTGTCAGTATGGCCAAGTCAGCTATAAAGCTGTTTACCTTAGGTTGTTATCAGTTTATAGGAAAGGGCTCGGGTTTTGTGGATTTTAGAAGACTAAAATCTAGGTAGAATCTTCTTTTATCTCAAGAGTGTGAAGCTGTTTTTTTCCCTCTAAAATGGTGGGACTGGGTGTGCTTGCTTAGTCATAATGGTAGTTGGGTGGGAGTCAATTTTACTTTCTCCACAGGGGCTGACATTTGAATTCTCCCAACTTCCATTCTTAAAGGAATCCATTGGGTCACAAACCACAAAAAATCAGGATCCTACCCTCCACTTACTGGATACATATTGTGATTTTGTGGGGTGGGATGGCATCTAAGAATTTGCTTAAGTAATTATTTTGATGAGTCTGATGCAACTCATTATAGGGATAGGGATGAACATCACTGAGAAGCAGTTGCTATGAAGCCATAGCAGTAGTTATATCTTCACTTATTTTTAATCTCCTTTTTGCCTCAAGAGTACGAAGTATGTATCTTATGCCTTTTTAAGGTTGGTTTCTTTATGTGTCTTGATTCCATTTGTTTTAATTTCTTCTCGGTCTTTGAGCTGCCAACAGTTCCCTGCTCTGGTATTGGCAGTCTGCTGCAGTGTTCTTCTTGGCTTATAAGTATTATTCACTCATCGACTGAATTTTTATTGATTGCTTCCTATGTTTCCAGCATGTGATTTAATTTCCTTTTTGGTAAAACTTCATCTTTCTTTTTTAACAGTAAAATTTTCAGTCCATGTTTTCAGTATGTAATGTTTACATCCCTTGTGTGGACTTGGTAAAATGTATAACACATCTGAATCCCTTTCCCATTTCGCTTTCCCTCCTCTCCCTTCATCTTCTCTATCTCTTGATCCCTTCCCACTTGAGAAAGTTCTATCCCCTTACTTTCTGTTATTTGTTTTTTATTTTGCTCTTTATTTATAATTTGGGTTTCTCATATAAGAGAAACCATGTGATATTTAAGTTTGTATATGATTGATTTCACCTGACATGATCTCTAGGTGCATCCATTTTCTTACAAATGACTCAAGGTTATCTTTATGACAGAGTGGTGCTCCACTCTGTAAATATCACATTTTCATGATCCATTCATTTTTTTTGATGGATATATAGGCTACTCTGAAAATTTAGCTATGATGAATTGTGCTGCTAAAAACGTGGGTATGCATGTATCACTGTACTATGATGTCTTTAACTCTTTCAGGAAGATACTTAGAAGGGGAATAGCTGGGTCAAATGGAATTTCTAGTTTTAGTATTTTGAGGAATCTCTATACTGATTTCCATAG